ATACTTTGGCACGCGTTTGTGGTTCTTGAAAGGGGACGCGTTTCGAAAAGCACCACCACCATCAAAGTTTTATGACCATTTGCTTCGTGCACGTAAGCCTTGCGTTGTATAACGGCAACTATGACTCCTTGTTGTTTGGAATCAAGTTCAGTTTTATCGGTACGGATCCGTCTTTTCCAAGCCTGACTTCTGTGGAAATCTTAAATGTATATAAAGGTATAAATTATTTCTCAATAGCGTATCTGTCGTTGAATAATCCACTATAAAGAATGACGAATTCCACCAATCGTTCTAATCCTTGAGGTGATTCCTCAGTATTGCACTGCACATCCTGTATTGCGTATAAAATCAGATAATCGGCTGAATAAGCGCGCACATGCCGAGCACAATACCTTGTTCGGTATTGTTTTTCAATAAATGGACCAGGCAAAGAGGTACGATGCTCTTGAAGGAGCACAATGACATATATATTTTTATGCATATTTCTTGTGTACCAGTAATCCCCTTTAAACGGAAGAAATTTAAAAAATCCATTTCCACCTACCTAAAAATGTACCGTTGAACTGATGAAAGCACGCGCATGATTAGCGCCAGTACAGGCATAAATAGGGTAAGTTTGGCCCACCACATCTTTTAAACAAGCACGGTGACCTATCTTCTTAATTGTATTTTTTCGCCATAGACTTTGGTAGGGAACCTTTAAGGAAATTTTAAAAAAATTGTTCGATAACTTTTTTTTTTTTTTTTCTGAGTAATCACCCTAATAAAACTCAAAGCTTCAGCTCAGCTGTAAACTAAAAACTTCACTCTCACATATCATTTCCGACACGACTTCATAACTGATATTGGTATGGATGCTTAGGAAACATAAAGAGAACCAGGTGTCTACCGTCAAGTAGAACCAGGTGTGGTCCGTACCTCCCATGAAGCCCTTGTTGCGAGACTTCGTGATGCACACATGGAGGATCTTTTTGTCAGATGACTCTCTGCTAACAATGTTGTCAGCTTCTCCTTCCTTTGGTATAAACAGAAATTCACCCGCGCTTGTTGTATCCAACTCTAGGACCTTTCACGAGGGAACTCTCGTTCATCTTTGCAGTATTTGGAGAAAGCGGTGGCTTTAATTATGTATTTTCGGAGATCTTGCCATGTGACCTGATTTCTTTTCTCAGGGTGCTCTTGAAGTAAGACTGCCGCAGACAGTTGCCTCTCTACAAACTCTCAAAAACTCAAAAGAATGTTACGTTTGTATCTTACGTACGTTTAAGATTCCCTTTCTTTCGATTGTTACGTTAGTACCTTGCTCACGTTTAAGATTTTCTTTCAATGGATTGTTACGTTTGATCTCGCGAAAATGTAAGATTCTCTGTCATTGGATTGTTACGTTAGCATCTCTTGCACCTTTAGGATTCTTTTTCTTTAGATTTATACTTTAGTAGCTCGTGCACTTTTAGGATCCTCATTAATTGGATTGTTATGTTAGTATATCGCGCACTTTTAGGATTTTCTTGTTCGATTGTTACATTAGTGTGTCGTCTATTCTGAGAATTCTCTTTCATTCGATTGTTACGTTTCTATTTCGTGCATTTAGGATTCTCTTTCATTCGATTGTTATGTTTCTATCTCGTGTACTTGGGGTCCTCTTTCATTCGATTGTTACGTAAGTATCTCGCGCACTTTCAGGATTCTCTGTCATTCGACTGTTACATTATTTAGTACCTCACACACTTTTAGGATTCTCTTTCATTGGACTGTTACATTAGCATGTCGTCCACTCTGAGAATTCTCTTTCGTTCGATTACGTTTCTACCTCGCGCACTTGCGGTTCTCTTTCATTCGATTGTTAAGTTAGAATCTCGTGTACTTAGGATTTCCTTTCATTTGTTTGTTACGTTAGTATCTCGTGTACTTAGGATTTGTTTGTTACGTTAGAATCTCGCGCACTTTAAGGATTTTCTTTCATCAGATTGTTGCGTTTGTATCTCGCGCACTTTTAGGATTTTCTTTCATTGGATTGTTACGTTTCTATCTCGCGCACTTTTAGGATTCACTCTCATTGGATTGTTACGTTTGTATCTCGCGCACTTTTAGGATTCTCTTTCATTGGATAGTTACGTTTGTATCTCGCACACATTTAGTATTCTCTTTCAGTAGATTGTTAGTTTTGTATCTCGTCCACTTTTATGTTTTTTTTTCTTTAGATTGTTACGTTAGTAGCTCGTGCACTTTTAGGATCCCCATAGATTGGACTGTTATGTTAGTATTTCGCGCACTTTTAGGATTCTCTTTCATTGGATCGTTACGCTAGTATCTCGTGCACTTTTTAGGACTCTCCTTCAATGAATAGTTGTGTCAATACCTTACGCCTTTTTAGGATTCTCCTGCATTTGATTGTTATTGGTTTGTGTATATCTCGTGCGCGTTTAAGATTCTCTTTCTTTTTCGTTAGGACCTTGGGGACTTCTAAGAGTTTCTCTCATTTGATTGTTATCGGTATTGGTATCTCGTGCGGTTTTAGAATTCCATCTCATTCGACGGGAACGTTACTATTTCTCCTACTTAAGCATTTTAAACATAGATTTGAGATAAAAAGGTTGTTGATAGCGAGGGAATTATTTATATCCTGAAGTAAACTCCCAATGAAGGTTTTTACGATAAAAGCTATCAACGGTTTTCACGACCCTCTACATGATCTGAACGTGATCTTAATGGTGATCTTGTCGAATAGCACTTTTGGAAGGTATGTGCCACACCACGAGCTTGACTTCTGTTGTTGATGAATCTTGTTATATTAAGAAACGTCGCAAACTCGTGGAACGGCGTGCGATTATCATAAAGAAACCTAACTTTACCTGGAATAGCGAATGCTGTTGTCGCTGTTGCTAAGGAAATTTGAAGAGTTAGGAAAAGGATGATCACCTCAAAGCTTTGAAAAACGTGGAAAAGGGGCGAAAGCTTGTTTTCAGCACGAGCGCTCCATTTCCCTACAAATCACTTTCGCGGGGTTGCGGACCATGCGTCAGGTAACTTGAAGGCCGCTTTCTTCACAAGTTATTTTATTTGAAATCTGTCCATAAATTTAGAGCTAGAGCTCAATTGAAATCCAGAAATCGAATCCCGAAGAGTGATTGGACTTTTGTATGTCGGCTCAAATGGTCAAGCTGCTGGCTTCCTTTTCGATCCTTTCACTAGAGGATGAAAGAAAAATTACCTAATCAGAGAGAAGCAAATGCTGTGACAGATGCGCGTGACAGATAAGTACCCTTGCCGAATAGCATTTTCTGTAGACACAGAAACAACAATATTAAATATCCTAAGTAAAATTGCTACAATAAGTGTATATTGATGATAATCAAGGTAAAAAATTTCCACACACCCCCATAATTCATTATGCATACAGATGTTAGTTTGGAGAATTTGGTATTAGATCAACTATTAATCCCCTGACTAATATTTTTCTTTATTCTCATCACTTGTCTGCTTGATATTGTATTGATGTTGTAAGGAGAAATTATGTCTTGGCCACTCATGGGAGTTAAAGGGTTAAGAAATTTCAAGGGTTAGTTATCCCAAGAAGTGAAAAAAGGACTTGCATAGCTGCAGTTTATTCTCTTACAAAAGGTTGAATGACTTTGATGTTTAATTTCTGCCACATTACTCTGACTGGTAATCTACAATCTACTTTAACCAATTCCTTCAGAGCAATGTTGGATGTCTCTCTTTTTTGTTTTGTTTTGTTTTGTTTTTTTTCTTGGGGGGGGGAGGGTATTATCTTGGGAACATTTTAATTTTGTAGGCTATGCCTTTGTGTGAGAAAAATGAACAATGATTTTTATTGTTGTGACTTCCTTATCTACATTAATTTCTGATAGCACGAGATTGTGTACTTAATTCAGTTGAAGCTTCCTGACATCAGTGAGCATGTATTGTCCTCTATACACTTCTTAAATTGCTGTCAAGAAGAGTTTGTTTGACGGTAAAGAGCTTCTTTGCTTGGTAATCATTTCTTTAATTCTTGTGATGTTCAATTCAGGAATGATATTGTACATGGGAGAAGTTAAACACATGTCACTCTCAGAGGATATAATGCATATATGGGTTAAGGTTCTGACAATCAAACAATGCCTTTTGCAAGTAAATACTTGTCAATCTTCCTTAGATATTTGAGTAAGTTAGGGGCCACTTCTAACAAGCTTTATGCATAAAATCATATTTCTGTTTTCCAAGGACCATTAGCAGTCTGAGTCATCATAACAACAGTTAAGAGCTTTATTGTTGGATTTGATGTAACAAAAGAGGAGTTACAACAACTTTGCTAGTGGTATGGCTCAGTGCTTTTTTTATTTTTATTTTCAGCTAAAAAAAAGCAACTTAGTAAGAAGAAAATTACACTTTGGCTGTAAGAAAAAAACCAATACATACATGATTGCTGGGTACATTCTGTAGGAAGGTAATATGTGATTTAGTGATATGACTATACCTGCCCAGTTTTCTTGTGGACTCACTCTTAAAAAGTTGTTACTGTTTTACCAAAAAAGACTTGGTTGGGGTCTATAATTGGCCACAGAATAGACTATGGTGGAGAGGCCCATTGACCTAAAACTCCTCCCCCTTGGGATGGCAACATTTATCATGAAGTTGCCAGTTAGAACTAATTTGACAAAGGCGTGAATTACCAAAACTGGTGACTTCATGATGAAGCTAGATAGCTTCTCTCAGATGTGTTAATTTGATCAATCAATCGATAAACTTAAGTTAATCATGGGTAGTTTATCAGCTATTTACAAAAGGATCAAAAACTATTGACCATAATTATTAATTAAAGTACATTACTGCTTTCCCTGAATGCCGTCCCTTAGAGAGCTTTGCTGATATCTCATATATTTTTCCTAACAGAAGGAAATATTTTTTTTGTTTGTTTTGTTTTTTTTTTTTATATAAAAAAAAAAAAATTTAACTTTGTATTACGTAATGACTATCCATTCGGTTGGCCCTCTTGGTTGTGCGGTGGGAACCAAATGAGAGGCCCTGGAGACGAGGTTGGCTTATAGGAAACGATTCGCGCTTGTGTTCTGAGCAATTCGTGGGGTAAGTTTTTAATTATTTGTCTATTTAGCTCACAAGTGAATCAACCCAAAACCCTAATTTCTCAGTCGAAAGAAAAAGAAATCGACAAACTCCGACGGTCATTGTTGGCAGACTCCGCAACGAAAACTGATTGACAATCAGTACTCCAAAGTTCGTGGTACATTTAGACGTCGATAAACAAATATTTTGGCGATGTTTTTGTGATTTGAAAGAACCGGTCAAGCACCGATCGGCACTTGCTTTAGCTAATATCTCATGGGATCCTCTGGCGTGATGACGAGGCAAAGAATAATTATTCCATTTGTTCTAGCGGGTTCAAATACACACATTAATGACTACCACAGCCCTGCATTATATAATAATGGATTATAATTAAATTCAAATGAGCAATGAAGGGGTGATTAAAACAATTCTCAAGATGCATTTGGAAATAGGTAATGGAGAATCAAAGATCAGGAATAAGGGATCTAGCTGTTATTAATTTAGGGCTTGGAATTAGAGTCTGAAATTCGGAATTTGGATTTCGAAAATCTGCCAGAGGGAAATTAAATGTCTTGAATTTCTAGAGTAGGTGTAGGAATCGAAAAATGAACTGATGGAGAGTGGAATCTGAGTCATATGAGGGTTGTCAGTAGTCCATTTTACAGTTACTTGCTTGGTTGCTAAGCCTTTGAACAGGAGTGAGGCTAAGGGTTACCTTATTAACATACAAACATTGCTGCTTTTTAAAGTTAAATTACCTTGTTATTGTGTTAACCCTTTACACCCTAACATCAGTAATCATATTCTCCATACTGTTCTCTGTACATTTACCAAAATGCTGACAAGGAGAATTTGTCAAACAATCCAGTTTCCATAGTCTCATGACATTAATGTGTGATTCAGTGGTGATATTGTAAGGAGAAATTAGATGGTAGTCACTCTTAAGGGTTAAAGGGTTAACTAGATTCTGGTCTCTATCACAACAAGGTCCCCTTCAGCCTCACTCAAAATCAAAGGCTTGGCAACTATGTACACAACTGTAACATGGCCGAGGGGAAAGGGGAAATTTGTTGGAAATTATTTGGCAATCAAGCGTCAATATCACTTAATTAACCCCCCCCCCTTCCCACCTTAGTGCCCAGAGAAATGTTCAAATGTCCCACCTAATTACCGGAATTATTATCAATTTTTGTGTAAAAGGCTAGATCAATGACCATGACCATCTTGTTGAGGTTTCTTCTGAGCCATTTGCTATCAAAAGTGAACTCCTTATCTTTAAATGCCTTTTTATAAAAAGATTAAAGACATATTCCACTGAAAAGACATGATGGTTCCAGTTCAAATTCTCCACCCCAGCCTGGCAAGGTTCAAATATCACCCCTCAGGGATGGTTGACAGTCAAATGCTCAAGAGTTTCTGGGGGAGAGATGTTGAAGCTTCAATTTGATAGGTGCATTACCTTGTGATCTTTAATATGCAATGCTTCGCTGAGATGAACCTTCAAATGAATTTTATTCAATAATAACTTATATATGCCATACATGTCATATGAGCACAATGATAAATGTGCAGAGTAAAATGTTCCTTGTGTAATTTTTACAGGTTAGGGAAAGATGAAATACTGTAGCACTCGAGGAAAGGTGCAGGCTGAATCATTTGAGGATGTGCTATTCAGTGGCTTTACTAGTGATGGTGGATTATACATGCCTGAGAGAATTCCAGTTGTGGATGAATGCACACTGCAAAAATGGAAGAGTCTCTCATATATGGAGCTTGTGAGTGAAGTGACTTCTTTGTTTATCCCTCCAGAAGAAATACCACCGGAGGAATTAAAAGGTTTGGCAGTTAACCTTTTACATCCTGACATCAGTATGCATATTCTCATGTACTGTTCTTCTCCTGTTCAACTCGATATCTCACTTGCGTGCTATCAAGTTGAACACTCAGAGAGAAATTCCATATCCATGTGTACCCATGTGTTATTCTCTATTTAGCTATTTTTCTCGTGTTTTAAAACAGCACGGTTTGAGTGTAATTTTACACGACTATGACAGAATTAAGTCAATTGATGAAATAATTTTTTTTAAATTTATACAATCTGGGAATTCTTTTTTGTGAACAGATCTCATTACCAACGCATATGCTGAATTTCAACACAAGGAAATTGTGTCCCTGGCAGCGGTGAACAACTTCCATGTGTTAGAATTGTTTCATGGAAAGACATTGGCATTTAAAGATTTTTCTCTGGCATGTGTTGGGACATTCATGGATTACTTTCTGAACAAGAGAAGGAAACATGTTATTACTGTAGTGTCAACTTCTGGTGACACAGGGAGTGCTGCCATTGAAAGTGTAAGGAAATCAAAGTGGGTTGATATCATAGTAATGTATCCTGAAGGACGCTGCAGCCAGATTCAGGAACTTCAAATGACAACAATTCTTGATGAGAATGTACATGTCATCCGAGGAGAAGGTTCATCAGATGACTTAGATGTGCCAATGAAAAAGTGTTTTTCGGATGATGCATTTGCAAAATCAAATAATCTTTGTGTAGTAAACTCGATCAACTGGTGTCGCATAATGGTACAAACAGTACATCTTCTATATGCTTACTTGAGAGTTTGTTGCAATGTTGGAGACACAGTGAAGTTTGTAATACCATCAGGAGGACTTGGACATTGCACAGGTAAATGATCTTATCTATTAAGTCAATCTCTTAAAATGCCAAGCTATTGTTAAGCTCAATTCTGAGGTATTGATTTTAGGATCAGTGTGTCAGGACTACTCAACCTGAAATACAACAACTGACCCATAAGTCCTATGTTGATATTACATAATTATATAATATCGATTATCTCTGAATTTATGATTATTTAAGTATGTAAATTTCCTTACAGCTGCCATGTGTCTGTATAAAATGGGTGTTCCTCTGCAAGTGGTGTGTGCAGTCAATGAGAACGACATTGTGCATAGGACCCTATCATTGGGTGACTTCAGTCCCAGCGGAGATGTGAGGCATACATGGTCATGTTCAATGGATATTGAGGTATGAATGATAAGTCTGACTGTAGCAAGCTGGGGCAACGCAGGTGTATATTATATCAGTATTCCCCTATGTAAAGATGACCTGCCATTTTGGATTTTTTACACAAAGGAAGGTTCGAGGAAAGAAAAAAATCTATCCTGAAGGGATGAATGACAGGCTATATAAGGGATTACGTACCCCACCATCTTCCCTCTCTAACTCTAACTCAAACATGATGGCTTAGTGAGTGGTAACAAGATTTTTGTGCTAAGTTGCTCTCCATAATAAAGCTGTCAGCCAAAACTAGCTTCTATTAAAGCTTCCTTTTTAAACAGCTAAGAGCCTTGGCCCCAGTCTCTTGTGACTTGTTTGGGTTTCTCAATAGTGGTCCTGCCCCATGATAAGAAGGTTTTTTTTTTTGTTTTTTCTTTGTTGTTTTTGTTTTGTTTTTTTTGCAGTAAGGCATGCAAAGCTAGACCATCCCTTTGAGATTAATGCTGAAAGATATGTCTTTGTTTTACAGTATATATCTTTGTGTTCTTGGTTTGGGTCTTAGAACTTAGGTTAACCTAAAGTCACAAACAGACTTTGTCCAAGGTGGAAGAAGATGCAGGGAAGTTAGGGATTAGCATGTTTTTGGAACAACAAGAATGAGAAAAACTGTTCTCTATAGTTAAATAAAATTGCATAGCAGTTAAATAATTAAAAAATGATTCAATATCTTTCCACTGATGGTTCAAATTGTTTAACATTCTCCTTTAATTATTAGATTCCTTATAACATGGAACGTCTACTGTTGCTCTTTTCTGACATGAATTATGGTCGTGTTGATTCACTGATGAGAGACTTTGAACAGAATAAGTCACTGATTATACCTGAAGATTTAAAAGGAGAGGTAACCTGTTCATTTGGATAAAAATGTAAACACAACTTTGCATTTGATTATGATTTATCTAAACTTTCAAACATGAGTGTGATCAGCATCATACCTAACATAAGAAATTTGCAGTTTGTACCTTAATGTGAGTAGCAAGAAAACTTATTAATAATGTGTGGATATTATCGGGAGAAGTTACATTTTAATGACTTCCAGGTGTTGAAGGGTTATTAAAAATAATCCCAGAAAACATGTCGAGGCTGAATGCCAGTAGCTATTCACAATTCTAACTTTTTCTATATTACAGATGTGTAAGGTCCTCTCTTCTGCCTCTATGTCATGTGACCAAACACTTAAAACAATGAAGGAATGCTGGGATGAGAACAAGTACCTTCTTTGCCCACATACAGCTGTTGGTGTCAAAGTGGTCTGGGACCAAAGGTAATTGTAAACTGAGAATCTTTATAAATACTATGTTAATTATCCGCTGAGAGGATAAAGACCCCTGTCGGTATGAGGTCAGTGGAGTTGTATCTCCTTTTGAACAGGTAGAAAGTACATATATGTTTAGCTGCAGTATCAGTCCTTTAACGGTGAGCACGTTGTTTGGTCTCGTAACGCGTGGGTAGAGAGTGCGCTGCGTGATGAGACCAAACAACGGCTGCGAAAGAGATTACTAAGTATACACACGTGTGATTTAGAGTAAACCACATTATCGGAGTCGTAGGCAGAAGCGGGAAAAACCAACCAATTGCTATGTGAGTTCTCAGGCCTTCCGAGAGTCAAAAACTCACCAGATCAACGGTATTAGTATTCTGCTTCCGATTCCGCTGGTTTGATTTTTAACAGTTGCTATCGCTCTGTGCTCTGATTCCTACTCTGTCGCTTATTTAAACCAACCATAACGTCGTTCAGTTTTGGCATGTTAGCTACTACAGGTGTAATTTGTTCTCATTGATGTAATCCGATCCCCCTTCCTATTCATGTTAGTGATTCCCTGTTTCCATCCGCAGACATGCCAGTGATCTTAAGACACCCATCATATGCGTAGCCACAGCAAGTCCCGCCAAATTCCCGGAGGCCGTCAGGGCTGCTGGTATTGAAATGCCGCCGTACCCGCAGTTGGCCGAGCTATTCACCAGTCCCACAAGGTACACGGAAATGAAGAAAGGAGAGGACTGGTATCAAATATTGAGAGACATGATAAAAGATATCTCCCGTAATAAACATCACAACGAAAACAATGGCACAGAAAATGGGAGTGAAGTCAGGTAGAAAAAAACCGACTGAGATTGGAATTTTTGATCATTATTTTAGTGACTTTATCATATGCGAATATTAATTAAAGTTAATTTATTATTGTAAGTAATAGAATTGTATTTTGTAAAGCAGTGTGCTTTTATCACTAACCATGGTTTTCAGTGAAGAAGACAATTCCAATGGGTGCAATAAAAATCTAAAATCACTGCCAGAATTGATGTTCCCTGACTGTATGGTGAGGTGTACGATGGATATTAAAAGACGAAGCGGTCGTAATTTTTAATAAGTTAAACGTTTCCATAAAGGTTTACTTACTAGCTGGTCAATGCCAAGAGGTTATCAAGGTCGAAACCAAATACGGCAGCTTGAAGACATTCTAGGGTTCACAAAAGTCAGTTTCACAAAGATAACTCCCTAGATCTGATTGTTAATTCTCCCCTCTGGCTGCTACAGATTTCCTTGTGAATAAGTTACGAGAATTTGGTGTTAAATCAAGATAACAACTTCTACCTGATACATTTGGGTATTCTCATCACCTGTTTTCTGGATAGTACATTAATATAGTAGGGAGAAGTTACTTGTTAATCACTTCTGGGGGTTAAAGGGTTAAGATAATTTGGTTTTAGCAACTGAGTTGATGGTGTAAATTGGCCATCGTAAAGAGTTTCTAAAACTGACGTTTGAAGCCTTATCCCTTTGTCCGAGCGAAGGACGCGCCCTTCCGAACAATATCACCCCTAAATCAAGCACGAAGTACATGAGAATTGACAAAATGATCGCGAAATCAAGAAGTTCAGACAAATTCTCCTTCTAAGTACCATCTTGAAATGTGTAGAGAACAGTGTGGAGAATTTGCATACTGATGTTAGGGTGTAAGAATTAAAGTGCGTTAAACTTTTGACTTTGTCCTGGTACTATCTCCTGGTAAGCCTCTCCTTTCAAATTCTGAACCAAAGAGCTGTAAAATTGTAGATGATATGCTTTCACTTGCTACACCCAACATGCCTTCTGTTGAAGTCGGTGAAATAAAAAAATAACGAAGACAAATTTTATACTCGGTAGAACGTGCAGCGTACTCCCAGCTGTATGTATCTACATACATGTTTGAACTAAAGAGTAGAGAAAAAAAATTTTAAAGAGGGACAGATAGTGCTCTGTAACGAGATGTGCAAAAAAGTGACAAACCTTAACATGACTTGTGTCGCGTTTGTATATTTTACAGACGTTCCCCTTCCGTCTCGTTTTGAAAAGCGATCTCTCTAATAGTTGATTTCCATGCGGTTTTCTAGTAGTTACTCTCCCCTCGTTTTCTCCCTATTGGAAGTGAGATTAAGTTACTGCCCTAATGAGCCCCCCTCTACCAAGCCCCTCTCTTAATTTACCCTCCCACCGTCTATCAATTACAGGTTATAAAAGCTCCCCCCCCCCTTTTAGGAGGAAAGCATCGGAAAACATTTAGGTTCAGTTATGAATTAATACAAATATAAAAGTATCCCTATCATATGTCATATTTCTTTCACCAAAGAAAAGCAAATTGTGCATAATATCCGTGAAACTTGGGCGACAATTTCAAACGAAAATTATGGTGGGAACTTTTACCCTGAGTAATTTTTTGATACACCCTTCCCCTCTTCTCAACAGACCTTCCCTTATGGAAACCCTGGGAATCAAAAGCGCCCTCGGAGGTTTATCAAAGCGTGTATAAACGTTCTTTCGCGTGACCAATTCATTGAGTGAGAATTTCAGTGGGCGAGCCGACTTATCAGATTTTGTTTGAAGTCGTTGGAGATTGTTTACGATACATTTTAAGATATGAAGTTTATTCAAACTGGAATTCGAATCGATAGCGGAGTTCTTTATCGCTGAAAGGCTTTCACCAATAAGGGTTTCCGCTATGCGTGACTTCTACGATTACGTCACGATAAGTTTGCACGCAATACGAAATGACACGATTTTGCACTATAAACACTTTCCTACCAAATCTGTTATACTAGCAAGATATTTTTCTAATGAAATATCTCTGCTGTCAAATGCCAAAAGGGAAAACTCTGATTTTCACCTTGAAGTGCCTGTTCTTGATACTGTCAAACTGAGAGAAAACCCATTTAACTGTCATCGGGGTCCACTTCCGGTTATTATCGAACACCATGGTTGATAGATTAGACGAAAGAACAATAAATCAAAAATCAAACGCTTACTAGCAAAGGGAATGCTTTCCTGTTCAGTTCAGGATCCAGTTATAAAGTAAGGTAAAGAAAACCGTCATTTTTATAGGTCTCCAATCAGTGTCGTAGAAAAACTGCTTTATTTGTCAGCATAATTTTTTTTCTGCCATTCCTAATGTATTGGCAACGTTCACGCGTAAAGCCGCAAGTGTTGAGATGTCTCTTGCACACCATGGAACGACCTTCATTGAAAAAAAATGAATTGTTTAATTGTTTAAAGATATAAAAAATTGACGAAGGGGGGCAGAAACATCGGTTAACTTTGATGTTCTTTTATTTTATTTCATATCAATAGTCTTAATTTTTGTGAACAAATAGGTGGGGTTATGATGGAGTAAACAAAAGTGTAAGGTTCGTGATAAAAGAAGGGAGTTTATTGTCGGCTGCCTTTTGTGTTGGTTTGTGTCTATCTATTCTGTTGCCGCCCTCAACAAAAATGTGCACATAGGCACGAAAGCTCTGCTGCGAGTTCTTTTAAAACTATCGGATGAACAACATAATCTTATTAAGATGACGACAATCATGACCTTTTACCACCATTTAGGAGAATTTATTATGATACCACTTGTTATTAAATGTTTCCTGCTTGTAGTCGTTGCATTTGACTTGAAACACTGATTGTTTTGTTTTGTTTTTGCAGCACAATATGACATTAGCATAGGAAGTAAATAAAGCTTCTGATATTTGATTGTGATCCAAAAACTCCAACCGTACGTACTTGTGTGGGGGCATATTAGCCGAGTGCACTATAAAATATGCGATGAATCAGATATCAGATAAATTTTGGCGAAACATACCTTTAAAATTTCTCCTCTATATTTCTAACGTTTTCGAGATCGTCAAAACTTTTGCAAGATTTCACTGAAAACGTCCAAAATATTCGACAATTCTATATTTCGTAGAACTCCGTGTTATTCAGAGATATCGGCTCATTGAACCTCATTCAACATTCGCTTTGCATGTGTTCCAGTGAAATTAGTAAGGCGATTGAGGAATAAAATCTACAAGATCTTCACGAGCAAAGGTTACTCGTTTAACATTTCTTTTAGAGGGGGAGGGCGAGTCGGTAGTAATGATTTAATCCTTTCCGACTTTTCCTGTTAGTTTTATTTCGTCGTGAAACTATTATAAAAACCAAAAACGGGACATTCTCGTCCCTCTACATAAGTGGTTTTAAAGAATCGATGGGAAGGTCTCTTTTTTCTACGCAGGATTTAACAGTTTTACAATAAAAAGCTTAGGTTCCCACTCGGGGGAAATGAGATGACAGCTTCACTTGAAAAGTTGCTCAGCGGTCGCTGTGGTGTTGCAGGCTCTATGGCTATCTGTTAATTTTCATCAAATGTTAATTCGTTCAAACATTGGTTTTGTGTATCGATCATATTTCTCTTAGAAGTGATGCAGTTCGGTTGAACATTTCCTATAAATTAAACAAATGCTCTCCAAATCATGTCTCTCTAACGTCGTTACATTGGTAATTGGAATACATTACGTTTCGGTGTTTTCAACTCAAAACCTTCAAGGTGTATAACTTTTATTCCAAACTTATTCGCCAACATACCTACGTACACACCATCCTGTCTTAAGAAGGATGACGAATGGAAAAAGCCTCAACAAACAAAACTACCACATCGTAAGACAAAATGTTTCCAACATGAAACCCATGCAAAAATCTGGATAAAACACCCGTGGAAATTCAGTCTTCCCAACTTACTTCCCTTTTTACCACTCCTGAAACCCCAAGGGTTTTTGTTAAAATTACCCTCGCATAAAATTTCTTTTGGAGAGATAAGTTTACATAGAGAGGAGAGAACAGCTTCAATGCTAACGAAGACATCATCGGCGTCTGTCTTTAAAAGAAAAGAGAACCTGCCTACGTTATCGCCTATTCGAAGCCCATCAGTATCTTTCTGGTCTGATTCTAGGAATGGTCGAGTAGTCAGCTCGCACAAGGTCTCCATAAACTTCATCTTCCCGCAATAGGGAGTAAGACAGAGATTGATTTCGTACTTCAGCGGCAAAGAAGGCCATTGTCCATCTTAGCCGGTTTGAGGGCTCTTCGGAAAGCCCAAGTCTAATGAATATCCGTGTTCATTCTTTGCAACTTAGGTGGAGCGGATGATACAAAAATAAGAAGTTTGTAAGTGCTGCGCACAAGCTTTATCAGTTATAAGAGATGTTCTTTAGTGTGCGAATTGCAAAGTTGAACGATCTCTTTTGAAGAGAGGTCCCGTTGATGTAATTACTTATGATGCGGAAGAAGTTGCCGTCTCGAGCGACTCAATAGAGAAGAGCTTTATCTAGAAAAAGTCAAATTGTTACCACGAAGCGAATGTAGGGATTCTTGACGCTCTTCTCATCATTAATGATTGGAAGGAAGCTGACTTCAAAGTGAATTGACTCTCCGTGAAATTTTCAGATTATTAGCCGATCAGTTTAGATTGTCCTGCAATCCTAGAGCTTCCGATATTTTTCTGTGATATCGGCTCATTGACAACTTTAAAAAACAGGATATGTTAGGTGATATTACAAGGGTGGGGTGGGGGAGGTAAAAGAGGTAGAACGGGGGATGGGTACATAGACTGGTACTGTAAGGTCAGTTAGAGAGTGGGGGTTTGACAGCTTCGTTCTTCTTTCAGTATTATCTGATCACGCAACTAAAATAGAACCAAATCTGTGATTCTTGCACATTAATAAAGCCGTTTAGTTATTGAATCAGTCATTGTTAAAAATGAATTTGAAAGTTATTGAAATCGTCCCTTTTTCAGCAAAAATTGCAGTTAACATTACGTTTTTGGCAATTCAAACAGTAATAATTATACTCACTTTGCCTTTTTAAGGAGCGCAAGATTGAGGCTGCATATTTTTCGACTGGTTTGGCGGAATTATTTAGGACTGAAGCAGTTAGAAATTATTGCCGAGGTACAGGTTGGAGCTGAAGCACCTCAGGGCACATAATACTGAGCAAGAAAGACGATGCATGCAAAATCACGCTTGAAATCATCCGTCTGTGACCCGTATTAAGTGGAAATCCAACAGAAAATTCGCGAAAACATAATTAACACATAAAAGATTTCGGCAAGGAAATTTCACATCTCTGAAGGTTCTTTTAGAGTCCCTCGACGTGCAACTTTTCAACGCGCAAAGTTGTACGATGACCGTCTCAGTAATACAAAATCTACTTAGCTGTCTCGGCTATCATATTTACAGGCGTCGGCATTTATGATCTGAGCCACTCAGCCTGAGACAAAGACATTTTCGCGTGCCTCTAGAAAGGTCATACAAATCAAAGAAGTATATTTTATACCCTAAAGCTTCTCATTATCTTAAACCGCGGCTGAAATAGATCAACGTAATCTAATTAGCTTTATTTTTATTTCAGTTCGTTTTAGCTCGTTTTGTTTATTTCCCTTGATCGACCATAAAGTCGCAGTTGAGAGATGGGGAAGTGCGGAGGGAGGGTAGTGGGGAGGGGGGAGGGGGAGAGAAGAGTGGAGAGCTAACAGTGGGCACAGATGATTTAATTTATGTTTTCGACGATGATCTGTCATTATTACCTTTTCTTAATGACCCAATTACGTCATTTTAGATCCGAAGTTATGGCACTTAAACTCAAAATGCAATCTGTAACATTCACAAATGACTGTGAATATAAGAATATCATATATTTTAACTGCAGATTAATTAAAAATATATGAGAGTGATCATGGCTGCAATGAAAACTATTTAAGCAGCAGTGAAAATGAAGCTTGCAAAAAATTCAGGCTTGAACGTAATTTGAACCCATGACCTCTGCGATACCGCTGCAATGCTCTATAACTAAGCTAACTGAGAGCTGGTCATTTCCTCTATTCGTAAAAAAACCCGTCTTGCGATGAATGGGCGATAGACAACATATGAATATCGTACATTTGAACCTGCGGAGTAATAACTGATGATGAGAGCGATCTACGCGGTGATGTGTAAGATCAAGTGCGGCCGAAACCGCTACCCATTCCGTCAAACAATTCACGACGTTAACGGGCATCAATGGCTAGAATATTTTAATTAACTTGCCGTCAGTCTCCTCCCTTAACCCTATAGCTACGTCAGTTACTTTTTTATGTATTTCCATATATGATAAATAACAAACAGGGCAAAGTAAAACTGGGAGTATTAGTCTGGGCGGATATAGAGGCTGCCGAGGGGACAGTCACATCCCGTACGGAAGTCGTCTGATGACTGATATATAGTGAGGCTAACCACAAGTTCTAGGTTTTTCTCTTTTACGTCTTTTCATGTCTTTAGATCCGCTCCAGATAAATGTTTTGAAAACTTTTTATCACTGCCATATTAGCTCCATGCCTTAACGTGAAGTTCGTTATAGGTAACGCCTTGCTTGATCCAATACCTAATAGGTCAGGCTTTACTTTCCTCAAGATCGTGCAGATCGCCCCAAAGTATGCATAGGTGATCGGGCCGACGACTGTATGGAAACCAAGCGAAACGACTCCTTAAGACCAGAATAATCGTGGCGATCTCGATCGTCGTGCCCTTACGCCTGGCCCATTTTAGCTCATAAAACGAAGATAGCGGCAGTCGGAACAATTAAAATTCAGGAAATTGTTCCGTACCTTGAATTGCAAATGGTAGGAAAACCAATTGACTGCAGGGTCTGGGTGATCAAATGAAACTGGCCTTAATCTTCAGTTCAAACCGTGCTCCTCTGAAAATGTCTAGCACTTCACATTTTGTTTAGCAGTTCAATGCATTCAATGCATATTTGATTGATTGATTAGTTTGCGTAAAATGTCATTAATCAAGAAAAGAGTCGGTGGGGTGACTGAATAGTAGTGGTACGTGGTGTGGCAGGTGTAATTATAATCAAAAGTCAAATTGACGATTACAATTGACAATAAAATACAATTATGATTGTCGATAGAATACAGCTTGTGATGACGACATCACGTGTTATCTGCAAACGTTGAAGAGCCTTTTAACCACATGTCAGTATTTTTGCCTTGTTTCATTCAGTTGCTTTGTTTAGGTCACGACTCAGTAATTTTTCCAATCGAACATGCGAGATGATTACGTACTTCAATTTTGAGTGACGCTTCGCGAAATTCTTGTCAAGTTTGTCTCTGCTGATTGTCTATTCCGATATCAAGCGAAATATTGTGGAAAATATCGCCAAGGTGTGATAACATTGACAACTGACAAACTTGACGACTCAGTTACAGGGCTGCGAAAAGAAGAGAGGGAGAGAAAACAAAAACGTAATCAAATATTATAAACACAAAGTATTATGAATCTTATCTTAAGGGTACCTGATATAAAGTTAGCCAAACGCACGAGGGATCGCCGAGGTTCTTTGTAAAGGGTTTGGTCACGCCGCCCGGAATTCTGCATCAGCGAAAAAGTGGAATCAACTCAATATCTGGTCTTCATCTAAGTAGGAAATGGCTAACATTACACGTCATTTCCAAAGGAAAAATTCTCTTGGTACTTCCGCCGATTCTACCTGAGACATTTACCAGTTGTCTTACTCCGATGAAGCGAGGAAGTCACAAAGTTCTGTTACTCAGTGTTTGTCAGTCAGTTCAAAGACTCGATTAATCCTTCCCAGAATACTATTCGGTAGCACTCGGAAATTTATTCACATTTTGGACAAGAGCACACACTCTATTTCCTTTGGACGTGACCGGTTTAATGCTCTGCAGATTTTCTACATGAACTGTGACAGTTTCTCTCCTTTAGTTCAAAATGGTTTGACCTAACTGTGTAAATTCATTGAGAGTAGGGCCCTGTATGTTGCTGTATACCGCTTACTGGTTTGGCAAACCCCGGACCGTTCGCTTTGGGGCTTCTGTCTGTTGAAGGAATTTGATGAAGAAAAACTGTTGGTATTTGCATATTTCTGTCGAGCTTCGAACGGTAAGTTTTCTGACCAATTTGGTGACTTAATCGGTAATTTTGCGTATTGATAGCATAGTCCATGTTTTCATTTAGCGGTTGCAACCAAGTTAAACTTAATTTTTGTTATACGTAAACAGTGCGTTGTGTAATTTGTATACCTTGTATACCTTGTACTGATAAGTCTGATTTTACATCATTGAAGTGCTTTGTAACGACGATCCAAAATATTTCGATTACTTTTGGAGATGATTGGAAATTTGGACGCAGGATTTGAAACGAACAGACCAAATGTGTTAGCGTAGCGCGCGCCGACTAGTATTTTCAGGATCGAACATGAAAAGTAAACCGAAGCTTTGTTTGTGAAGTGCGTAATTCTTATCCTCTCGGATTAATCTTAGCCTACAGATGTTTAAATAAATAAGTGTTGCTTTCACAAATTTCCTCGTATGTTTTCCTCGGTCGCCATGCCCCGCGAACAGACGGTCGCGAATGCTAGCAACGATTCAACATGTTTGAATATTTCAGTTAAACAACGAACATTTGATATTTTATATTAGCATTTGTTTAAATTGCCGATATTTGAAAAGTATGCTCTTAAGTACCTAGAGAAACAGTTTTAATACTGAAGCAATTTCGTTTCTGTAAAAGTCTGATGAGTCAGTGATGATTTTTTTTTTTCAAAAATGCTCTTGTGGTCTTGTACCTAAACTTAATTGATCTTGGCGTCCGAAATGTCGGTGTGCAAATCGTGTACCCTTTCCTTATTCAGGAAATGATACAAAAATAAACTGCTACCCACTTTTTCCTGCATTGCCGTGATGACTTAGGCCTGCATTGTCTGTGTGAATTTTGCGGTTTTTTCTTAATTTTGCTCTGTAAATGGTTGCGAACATTTTTGAAGGGAAAAATGTTTGGGTAGCATCCGTTAATAAAATTAAGACTACAGCACTATTAGTCATGTAACCGTTTATTTTGCATCGACACTATTGCCAGATTTGATTTATTGTGGAATTGATGCGATCAAAAGTTTACTTTTGCATCATGAAGCATAATTTTGAATTTTCGTGATGTGAAATTGCCAATTGGTCACGATTTAAGACATGACTTTTCGCGGGTAATTTCACGAAGACCAATTTGTTGTTTGTTTAGAGAATACGCACATTCCAATCAGCATTATTTCAAAAGTTATCACTTTGCCACTATATTACTTGTTCTTTGGTGTTAGGTTTGTACAACCGGGAAAATACTTATCAAAGCGGTTTAAAATCTAAGCAGTTGCGACATTTGATATTTTAAAATCCTTGTTAATTTTTTCTCAAGATGCTATGAGGAGTCATTGAAGCGAGAATTGATGTTTAATATCGGATCTGTGCCGCAATTTGTCAACTCGAGAAGCTTTGCATGAAATAGTACTAAGAAATACACGATAAAAAAGCTTTTGTGAACACAAAGAACAAAATCATGGTTTAAAGAGAACATAAATTTTTGAGAACTCGCAATCGATATGTTACGATTGTTATCTGTGTATGTCACTTACTCGCTGTCAAGAAACATTTGACCCCATCTTCTCCAGCTTTGTTGTGTTTGACCTCTGTTGTATTCTGAAAAGGAGTAAATGGTTCTTTGATCGAGAGTATTCTCACTGCATGGGTACCCAATATCTGTTTACATCGAATGATTTTTGTAAGATTTACAGCGGTGTCAGCCTCATCAAAGTATATGCTACATTTCATTTGTAGTTGACTATGTCACAGAAGTGTCTGGAAAAACTCACAAACATTTTTTTTAGGGCTTTAGTGATTATCAGTCATATCTGGAGAGCCAAACTCAGGTATTAGGAATTTTGATTCCCTAGAGGGAATTGTAAACATTAAGAATTCAACTTGATATCATTTTCAAAGCCCCTGAAGATTGTGTTACAACAAAAAAATAAGGATCAGTTCGTAGAATCTATGATTCTGATGGCCTAGTTTCCTTCTTATTATCACTTATCCCATCCTGATTTGATATTCTTTAGAGGATGTTCTCTTCAGGTAACATTTGTTCAAGTTTTTCCTCTGGGAATTTGCACACAATGGCTGAAGTAATTGGACAGGAAGAAGGGGTTAATTTGGAGGACTGTGGCCAAGCCACACAGATTTTTATCAACATTCAGTAGCGGTTGTGTGATTTTGTCATGTACTATGTTACTGGCCACAAGTATTGTGTTCAGGATGGTGGTTAAATACCACTCTCATCTGTTTTGTAATTTTGGAAAGAAAGAAATAAGAGTATGGCTGTCTATTGGTGTGCATTCTCTGCAGCTTGGCTCAAGGGTATAAGACCTTAAAAGTGGAAGGTGTAGGTTTTTAATCCTGGTAGATGAATATTAAATCTTTCCTTGTCTTGCACTTGTGGCCATTTCAAAGAACAATCTTCCTTGGAATATTGGTTTTTCAATTTAGGGTAATTTTCAAGGGGTTTCAATTGGTTTGAGGTCAGAGAATTCTCCAACTTTTACACCTTCATGTGTAGTTCTTTTATCACTGGTTTGTTTCACAAAATGTGCCATTTAGATGTACATCTGTTTCCTTCCTTCCGATTAAGTCATTCTACACTAGCTCAATCTTAAGGTAATTATTTCCTGTCTTCAACCTTTGTTGAGATTTTCATTTGTGAGAGTTTGAACAACTACAAGAGCAGGAAATTAACTTGCATTTTAAAATAGTGAATTGAAGACATTAAGATAACTCAAAATATTGTTCACTTGAAGTGTCAAGGTTGATTTCAATAGGGAAGGTTCAAATTTTAATTCACGCAATTATTGGTTTTACTTTTTAGTTGGTTCAGTTACCAGCACTGTAATCCAATTTAATCTCTTGCTTAAGAATTTTAGATTGTTTTGCTAATGTGACTGAATCCTCTTAAAGTTGCAAATGGCTTAGTTTGCGATACAAAATACATATAATTGATTACGATTCTTGTGACATTTCCATGCAGTATGGTCTAAAATGTGGTTTTATTTCCTGAATGTACAAATTCTTGCTCAGATTTGCAATTTTAACCATCCTGTTTGAAAATGTGTTGATTATAGTTGACAAGCTGCATTTGTATAGTTCAGTACCTCCAACAAAGCAATTATCGCCTTCCAAACTATTAGCGAATTTGAGATGTCAGGGAATAGAAGCCAGACACGCTGGCTCAGAGCCATGTTCAAGGACATCCACTTCTTTTGCTTTACATTCCTCTTTTGAAATATCTTTTCATTTGGGCTACATGTAAATGCTGTCTTTATATATGATAGGATACTGATGGAAAAACTATTTGTATACATGTGCACGTTCATGACTTTTGAAAATACTTGATACTTAATTGCTAGTAATAGCAAAATTACTGTAAACTTGGTTTGATCATAATGGTGAGGATTTAAAGCTTTATCAGATATTATTATCACTTTGTTGGGCAGTGCGGCCAGTGCCCCAGGCTAAAATGACTTTGAGTTGGACCCAAAAAATTTTTATAATACAATATGAAACTAACATTATTATATAAACTGTTTCAGTTTATTAGTTTCAGTCACTTTTGGGCCTAATACAAACATCTATAGAATTTTGCAGCCATGTTGTTAAGTGATAATTTTGTCTCAATAGTTTTTAGCTGATGTTTCTTAACTGTGGCGTTTTTCTGTTAAATGGTCTATTGGCAAAAAGTGGGCTGGTAGAATAATTAGCAAGTTTGCTGGTTTTTGACTTTTTAAATACTTCAACTGTGAGAATTAGGATTTCACTTTCCACATGCTGATATATATAGTCTCTCTTTTGTACACCAAATAAAGGTTGGCCTATGTAAGGAATATTCATTACACAATATTTATCTGGATAGTTATCATTTTAAAGTAGCATGAAATTTAGCTCTCTTTATAATATCCTTTAGAAACAATATGTGGTGCATATTGCCTCAGCGTGTAATGGCAAGCAGTCTGAATTACAACATGCTCATATTGAGCAGTTGCAAAGCTAATTTTTGCAGCTGTTTTTATGCAGAAATTGAAAGCTCAGATGTTCTAAACTTTTCCATTAAGCTGTATGTGTGGTTGTTTAATTGTACTAGGCTGGCAGTTTTTTTGAGTTATTAAGGTGTCATTTTTTTTTCTGAGAAAGCTAACTAAGGGATTTTTGGGGGAAGACCAATTCTTGTTGAAATTTTTTTTTGATTTGCATGCAGAGACAGGAAGTAATATTGTACTTGTACAAACAATTGAGAGTTGTTGTAACCATATAGGTTGGCTTCTCTGTGATTTTAACCCTACTGTATTCTGATTAAGAAGATAATGATTGTTTTCTGTGACATCTTTGGTTATGGTTCTAGATCACAAGCAATGGTTGACTCACAATGTCTGTTGAAGTTACAAGTTCTTTAAACCAGGCCTCTGCTGTTGGTAAGAACCCTGTGATATAACTTTGTCTCTGTCAGCTTTCACAATCTTTATGTATAATTATACTTTTGCATCAATCGTTTTACTCTATTACTGATTCTTCCACTTGTAAATTGTGTAATTCACTTTTAGAATTCTCTAGATGTGCATTTGAATTGTCAGTTATGTCTACTTGATAGTTAAGACAAGACTTAAGGCTGATTTGGCAGCTTTGCACTAAACATTTCTTCTTCAGAATTGTATATCATCAGGTAAACCATCCAAAAGTAAACCATTAACAGTAACTGTGCTCTCTTACATAATCATATGATAATTATGTTTAACATCAAGTCACCAGAGAACAATTTGCAAAAAAAAAACTGTCCATTTAATGGTCATGTCATAAATGAATTGTTAAATTGTTAAGTTGATAATACCTGTATTTATTGTTTAAATCACCTCAAAATGTTTGTGAATGCAAGCATGGTCTCTCATACAGTGGCTGACTATTAATCTTGTCTGAGCAATGTAGGGCTTAATCAGCCCTGTAACTTAGGTTTAATTGCTGCATGGGAACATAGTGTCTGAATGTGTATCTGATCTGGGATGAAGGCTAACTGGATTTGAAAAATAATGTAGCATAGAAATATGTAGCTCCCTTATTACTTTTTGTTGTCAGTCATATCAAGCTGTTTAGCCCTAAGTTGAGTTCTCTCAAACTTTTGAGACAGATTTCTTAAGAGACCCACTATAAATGCTGCAACAATCTTGAACTTTGTACTGTTGTGAATACAATCAATCTTTCCTCCAAGTATTGAGGAAGGGCATGAGTTCCAGAGAACAATCTGTCATGAGTAGCATCCATTGTTTTCAAGCCAGCTGAAGATTTAAAAAAGTTTTGAATTTAAAATGCTTCCAACAAGCATCAGCCCTTTTGCATTTAGTGGCATACTTTTACTTGCAGATTGTCTATTCTCTCAGACCACAGATGCAGGTCACATTTAATGTACTGGAGATGCCAAATGTCAAATTCTATAGCTTGCCTTAAACTAATATTGGAGTCCATTATACAGATTTTGAGTGCTTACATGCATTAATTCGCAGCTTACAGCAACTGACTGTTTAATGTACCTTGTTTTCGGTGTAGTTTAAATTGTGTCATCATACTTTGTTTTCATTTTCATTCTACTATATTCAAAGCAAGCTACATACACACATGGCATAAAAGGTCTTCCAATTCTACAACAACAGTCAAAAGGGTTAAGAATTTTTCATCAAGCAAGCCTATTTGCATGATTCTTAGATTTAAGTTTATCCTTCACAAAATCAACTTCACCCCTTTATCTGTAGACATGCAGAATACTGACTATTTTGTTCTTGTAAAGCCTTTTGAAACTCCAACACTTTAACTGAGTTGATGATAATCAATAGAACAGTTTTTAATTACATTTTTCGTCCACAGCAATGTCGCCAATCACAAACTACCCTCAGTCACCTGGTGGTGGAGGAACAGAGTCCTTTAGCTCTCGTTCTAAACGGGCAGCTTCTCCACAACGAGTCAGCAATGGATATGCCTCTCCCAAATCAAACTCAATCTTGTCACCAAGAAAGTCATCCAAGAGGTTCTTCCGAAGACCCACCCTTGATAAGAACCAGTCTTCTGACTGTTTAACACAAGGCAATGAAAAGAAAAAGCAATCAAATTCTCATCCGCGAGTTGAAATTATTTACAAAGATGCTTCATCAGAAAATGAATCTGATAAAGAGACAATGGTATCGTCTTTAAAGAAGGCATTTGAAGCAGATGGAACACCTTGTCTGAAAACACAATCTAGTAATTCTGAAGATGGATTACCGGCAGCTCTCTTAGAAGAATCTACCTCTCATTGTCTTGATGTGAATATGAATCGTATATCCACAGCCTCAGGATCTAGTCACACTGAAAGGGTTGTCCAGGAAATTGTTCTCACTGAGCAAGCTTATGTTTCACATTTACAAGAGATCATTGAGGTACATTTAATGGCCAACAATTTTGTAAATTGTGATATTGTTTTCAATCCATTTTACTCTTTCACTCCCAGAGGCTAAGTTTTTATTCTCTACTCTGTTCATGTTATACATTTCATTTGGATTAGGATCTAAAAATTTGGTGTACAATCAACCAGTATCCCATAGTTGAGATTTGCCTTTCATCTTGTCACCTTTCTGTTGGAAGATGGGTTCATTTATGGAGGAAAAATTCCTTTTCGGTCATTCTTTGAGAGTATAAGAGTTGAAAGAAAGATATCAAGGAAGCACAGATTAGGTGCGATGGAAAGAGTGCATCCAATCGGTTACAAATTGCAGACACATTGACTTTTCCAACCTCCCCGTTACTTCATTTTTGACTCTTTTGTCCTTGTTGAGTTAAACTATTTGCCGCCATCCTCCAAAACAATGTTCTGTCATGATTCTGTGAGCTTTTAGCTACAAACAGGCAATGTTGAATGGGGAAGAGGGTATTGTCATTGATTTAGAGCATGGAAAAAACAGTGTTATTCTAAACATTAAAAGAACTGTTCAAACACATTATGTCAACTAATTTTAACACTGATTGTCTCTCCCATCCTTCTAGTCTGCATTTGATTTCAAAAGCTGTAGTCTCAAAAATTAATGGCTGGGTTTGATAATGATTTTAGGGGATAATAATTAGTACCTCATGGGTTTATATTTTGTACTTTTAGATGAATACTAGGTTGGAACACTTTTCTACTAGATGAGTTTGATTTATTTTTAAATCTTTTCATTATATCACCATAGTCCTTCAGTGAAAGAAATTACAATTCAAACTAGTTTAAACTATTTTTACCTAAATTAATATTCAACTGCAGCATAATTTAATTATAACAATATTTGTCATTATAACAATATTATGATAAGGTTTCACATTTTTAAAAACTGAATAAGTAACCTTAAATTTCAAAATTGTAATTAACATTTAAAGATTTTGTTACTTCATCAATCTGTCTTCAGGGCTATATGAAGAAAATGAGAAATGAAAAATCTCCATTCTCAGAGCAAGATATCAAAGATTTATTTATGAACATTGAAGAAATATATGAATTTAACAAGTAAGTGCGTCACTAGATTGTTATACCAAAGTATGGATTCAAATAAATTGAATGCTGTTTTTTTAATTAGTTTTGAGCAGCTCTGTTGCAACTGCCTCTATACTTATGAGTGTAGAGTTTGATTAAAGCTACTTCATGATCATTTCCTTTATTCTTGTGACTGCAATGTGTGATGCAATGTGTGAGGAGAACTTAGATGCTAGTCAGTAGCTGCCCTGTAGGTGCTTGTCAAATGACTGATAAAATAAATGCAAGGAAGGACTTTTTGTAACATCATATACTCATTAAGGCATCCTTTCATTTTGAAGATCATTTCTAGATGAACTGGAAATCTGTGGAGATGATCCAGTGGAAGTAGCAAATCTATTTGTATCCAAGGTAAGCAACAGTCAATGTATTGATGATGATTGTTAATTAAAGAGAAGTCTATAAGAGTGTGAGATAATTTGGCTTTATCAACTGAGTTGATAATGTAAATTGGTGACTGCAGTCAATCAATTGCTATTTACTCTGATGAAAAGCTGACATGCAAAATGTTTATGGTAGCCAATTAAATTATCAACTCAATTGATAATGTTAACTAAATCATCTTGAAATGCCCTTCACAACAAAGCACCACAGTTTCTTTAGAAACATACCCATTTGATTCATTCATTAGATTACAAACTTTATATTTCTAGTGCATAATAGTTGATGGGGGCAAAGCTTGAATCAGGTATGACCCATAGGAATGGAGGGTAGATCATCAAATTGTTTTAGTATATACAGTAGAACCCTGCTTACTTGAACTAAGTTAACTCAAACCCCTGGTAACTTGAACATGATCTGATTTCCTTTGACTCCATATTTTCAGTCATTCACTACTTACACCCCCAGCAACTCGAACCATTTTTGTTTCCTTTGGGGATTCAAGGTAGCAGGACTCTACTGCATATCTAATGGTCTTTCAAAACTTATCAAAAGAATAGGTGTTTGGATTGCTCACAAGCTATCATGGAATAGTCAACCAGTAGCTTACCCAAACAGATTACTCATTCCTTTGACTCAGTTATTATCATATTTCCTTTTGTAGGAAAAAGGCTTTGTAACATATACAGAATACTGTACAAATTATCCAACGTAAGTTATAAAGAATTATGATATAGTTATTAATTGTTGCTGGGTATAGGGAGAATTTTAAGAAGTGATGCACTTTTTACAGCTGCAAGTGTGCAGAATTAGACCAAGTCAGGAAGTATCAGTTCATGCATGGAGATGGTTTGCATGATTAATTAAATACACATAGAAGATATATTTAATCGTGGAACAACTCTCCTCTTGGTCAATTTTTTTTAAAGGTCAAAATAAAGTTCCTGGATAAAGTAAGCTTTTTGTATTTTAGACCTATCCTTCCAGTCTTGTACATTCTGATGTTCTATCTGCTTTTGAGGGGGCAACTGTGTTTAAATTATCTTTAATCCTTATGTACACTGTGGTTTTTTAGAACTAACCTTCTTTTTCCTATCAAAAGTTTGTTTAACCCTGATGTATGATATATCTTACAACAGTTCTATGGAAGTACTAACAAAGTCTACACAGAAAAAAGAGACTGCTGAATTTATAAAGGTATGCATGTCCATATTACAAAATATGTTTGCTTTATGTTTACATAACAGAAACAGGTTGTTGGTATATGTTTGATGAATCTGGAATAGTAGTTTGATGTCTCTTTTGATCTCTGACTTTACAATATATGACCAAAATGTGGTGTAAGGATTTCTGGCTTGTGACAAGTTTATTTATAATAACCCTTTGACTCCCAAGATTTGTGTATTAATTTTCCCCTCTAGCTGCCATGCATTTCTTTGTAAATAAGTTACAAAAAATTAGAATAAGTGTTATATTGAGATAACTTCCACCAGATAAGTTTGAGTATTCTTGTTACCTGTTTGCTTGCTAATTTATGGCTATTTGGGGAGAAGTTAGATGGGAGTTAAAGGGTTACTTTTAGGCTTCTTTAGTATTTACTTGATGTGAATATTTTGTTCATCAGAAAATTCAGGTTGAATTGGGCCATTCTCTTCCTCTTGGGTCATACTTGTTAAAACCTGTACAAAGAATTCTAAAATATCACCTTTTGCTGCAGGTGAGTGCCAAAACCTAACCTAACTGCTATCTTTTAATGCTTCATGTGAGCAAACCTTTACCACTTGGCCAGCTCAGGGGGTGGGGAAAATAACCTTCAACCATATGGTGAGGTGAGGTGGTCAAAACATTTCTGTTAAAAAGAAATCAAGAGAAAAAGTTTTTACAAAAAGATGAGACTAATTAACATTGAAAAATGTCTGGTAACCATGCCAGGTGTTGGGACATACTCTCATTTAAAGACACCTATCAACCAATCAGAGTATGTGTTGTATCTTAGTAATTAGTTAGTGTCATTTGTTCAGAGTAGCACTTAAATCACTCCTACTCCTAGTCCTTGTAATCTAAATTTGTGCACTTTCATTTCTTAGGATATTCAAAAGCATTTTGACAAAGAAAATGATCCTGAAGGTTATGATGTAATATCTGTAAGTATGGAAGTCACTTGGTGGTGACAGCTACTAAAATTATCAACACAACTGATTCACCCTCCCAAGAATTGATTAGTAATTCTTCTTCTTTGGAGCTACATATATCCTTTTAATTGCATGAGAGAAATTGCTGTTATATCAATGGGATGACTGGACAAGTGCTATTCATGCTTTGAACAATTCCTCCCAGTATTGTGACTGGTCTTTCTGTGCATTTGATCCACAGGAGGCCCTATCTGCCATGACTGGAGTAGCTCACCACATTAATGAAATGAAAAGACAACATGAAGTAGCAGTTCATGTGCAGGTAGAGAGAGAGACTCTTCTATATTTCATATGATCTTATAAGCATGTATGATATTCTTGAATGATGGGCTTGCTCACTTTACAATAGTAGTAACATATTCATATAACTTAATGTTGAGAAAGTGCCCCACTTGAATAAGCCTCCCTCCCTCCTCCCTTGCTTCTTAAACAGTAAGAGTACAAGGAAAACTTGTTTCTGTTGCCACTCTATAACTTTTAAAACAGCAGAATAATTGCCCCTCATTTTAGCCTAAAGTGAGAGCCTGCACGCTTGTATGAGGAAATAGGTTTTTTCCTTTCATGTCATTTGATATTGTTTAGAAATTATAGTGGTGAGTTAAATGTGAACCAGTCCTGGTAGTTTAGGGGTTGAGGTAGATACAGATGCTATGTATACCCTTAACTATTTTTAAACTTTAAGTTCTTTCTTTGCTGTATGAGAGAAGAAGACAGCAGTATGCAGTTGAAACGCCGCAATCTACATCACACGTGACTGCATCGTGAGACAAACAAAAAACTTAGCTTTTATTGTTATTCCCCATGATGAATAACCACAACCTTTTCTACAGAATTTCTTTCAATTCTCTCATAGGTAGAAATTAAAAATTAGAAAAAAATCGTATGGTCAGTGTAGGTTTTCTTTTCTGTACTGTAGCATGTGCCTAGATATGCTAAAAACTACAACATGAAGTATGTTTATGGCTGTGGAGATGTTTGGTTCATCAGTTACTTTGGTTCAAGTTTTAATTGTAGCTAATTATAGTAATGACCAGCATTGACATTATGTTTTAGAATTTTTATTGCGTAAAGTAAATTTGGTAACTTTTTTTAATTACAGGAAATCCAAAGTCAGATGTGTGACTTTGAGGTAATTACAAAGACATATGTTGAATTTGCTGTAAGATACTATTTATTTTGCAAGTTAAATCTTGTGAATATAGCAATAAGACCTTTTCCATTCTCAAAATGATTTTAAATTTGGTGTCACTCAACAATTTTATGGGAAATCTGTCTATGAGGTTATGTAGTATTCTTGTCTTGGTAAGAGTAAATTGAAATGCCCTCTGCATAATGTGTGAATACATCAGGAAAAAGAAAAACAATAAATTATAAAGCCATCCATTTTTTGCCAGCTGATTACCAGATAGCTGATTTAACAACTAGATTTAGTTATGGATCACAGATGACGAGAAAATATGTTAAGTGGCAAGGAAACCTCAAGGAAGGGATTTGTCGATGTTCATAAAACCTTTTGACTTCTTTTGTGATTGACTGAATAGACACTCAGTGTAATGTCTTAAATGAAGAAAAGTAATAAAATTATTGAGTTGTGCTCAGAACTTTTGGAACTTATTAAGTTCTCCAGTAGGTATTTTTCTGTCGTTTAGGACCCTTTATACTTGTAAACAGCCCCTTGTTAATTGTTATGTACCTTGATGGAGAGAGAAAAGAAAACAAATTTTTCAGTTGATATCAGCTGTGGGTTTGTAGTAATGTTCGGTTTATTTTAACATCATTTACTGTATTGTCAATTGTTTGTGACTGCAGAGAACACGTATCTAATCATTTTATTTTTCTTCTATTGTATTTTTACCACTGCAGGGTCCTGATCTTACCACTTATGGTAGTCTAGTTTTAGAGGTAATAACCATCTTTACTTGTTAAAATCTTGCAAATTTACATTGTCTTTTTATTTTTTTAAAATGAGTTTGCACCCCTCTTTTACCAATTCTCATTCCCCTGATTAGCTGAAGTTGCGAGCTGAGAGTGCGTGAGAGGGTTATCTCTTTTCCCTGTTTTGCATATCAAGCACCTTGTTTTTGTTTTGTTTTATTTGATTTTCCTTTCTGTTTTTCAGTTTGTTTGTTTTTGTTAGGAAGCTATCTATAACTTATAGCCAGTGGCATTCAATGAATTAAAATTCTCAAAATAGCACAACGTGATTTAAAACCTAACGCCAATTTCTTTTTCGTCTCAGGACACCTTTCGAATGCATGGAACCAGAACAGATAGATATCTTTTTCTCTTCGAGCAAATCCTTCTCATCACAAAACGGAAAGAAAATGGCTACTCTTGTAAAGCTACACTTATGGTAAGAGATCGTATGTCGTTAAAACTGTAAGGTCCTGAGTATTACATCAAGATTCTTGTTGTCTCCTTTTTATCAATCAAGCATAAAAACAGTCTGACCCTGGTTGTTCGAAAGGTAGATAACGCTATCTTTTGGATAAATATCTATCCGGTGGATAGCGCAGTACGTTTTGTTAACACTTAGCCGCTGGATAGCGATTTATCCGTCGGATAGCAATTTATCCGTCAGAAAGCAATTTATCCGTCGGATGGCAATTTATCCGCTGGATAGCGATTTATATGTCGGATAGCAATTTATCCATCGGATGGCAATTTATTCGTTGTATAGTGTTTCTAAAAAAAATTATTTCTACTTTTCACCTGGGAATGAATGGGTTAATTATGGTGTAATGATTTAAACATGCTCAGTAACTCCTCAACTTACCTGCGTGTGTGTGTGTGTGTGTGTGCGTGTGTTTTTCCATTTCTTACCAGCTGTCGAACATGATGATGCTTGAATCAGTACCCAAGGAACCGTTAGCATTCCAGATAATACGATTTGATAACCAGAAAATAACCTATACGTTTTTGGTAAGTGAGAAAGTGTCAACAGTGATACAGGATTGCGTTCCTCAATAGGGTTGAAAAACTTTTGCATTTGAGGAAGACTTGCTGTTATTGTAAGCCACCCAATTCTGTTTTTCCTCTCGCAATAGGCGAGGAACAAAGATCAGAAACGCCAGTGGATGTTAGAGTTGAAGAGACTGATCGTTGATAGTCTTTCTGCACAGGTTCCCACGAAGGTCAGTTTACTTTACTGTTAAATATTTTAAGATGAGAGCGATCATCGCAATAATGAATACTACTTAGGAAGCAGTGAGAAAAAAATACAGGTGCAGTGTTCTACCAACTGAGCTAACGAGCCAACTGGGAGCTGGTCATTTGTTGTTTTATAAGAAACCCGTGCGGTGCTAAATGAACGACAGTGAATATATATGAATTACATATACTGTATTTGAACTGCGGGTTAACAAATGAAAAAGAGAGTGATTTTCGGTAATGAACACTACGTAGACAGTAGAGAAAATAAAGCCTTAAAAAAAATTCAAGTTGGTACGGAAGTTAAACCCAACATGGATCGTGGTCATGAGGTCAAACCTGGTATAAGCCTGAATTTTTCTCGGGCCTTATTTTCACTACTGCTTAAAGATAAACAACTCCATATTAGGAAGCAAGTTCTGATGGGCTGGTCTCACGCTTTAACAAAGCTCAGCTCTCGGACAGACAATCGCTTTAAGGTTATAAACGTCTGATAAAAACTAATGGTGGAGCTGTTTTTTTTTACCTCTAGGCTAAAAATCTCATTCTCGGAAAGAAAAGTGTTGGAGAAACAAAAGAACTAGGTAAGATGATGGCTTCCTGGCATAACACTCTCCCATGTGGAGGTTAGTGCAGTGCATTTCAGCGATCGGTTTCGGGGCTTATAGTTCGACTTGTGAGAGAATGCGGGCAGGCCTTCATTACTCAAACTCGCATTCTTCTGCTCGCGGGAAGAGTTGAGACGAGTCGTAGAGAGGTTTGCTGGGAGTCTGACACTAATAATCACTGCCAGGCCCCTTTGCAAACCTCTCGTTGGCTCTTGTTGCAGAAGTGCTAATAATGAAGGCTGGCTCGCAGGCTAAAGTCGTGATAAGTCGGCCGGAATGCAAGGTAAGCATTGTCGCGAACAACGGTCGCCTCACTGTTTGGACTGTAAGTGCGCTCTGAATAATTTCGCCTGAATTTCTAAGTTTATGTCAATTTCTTCCTTTCTTAACTATTCTTAATTAAAATATAACATGTGCCACACAGGGGAATAGTGCTTTTCAAGCACGCTGATTGGACCCTCGGAAATATTTAGAAAGTAACACATATTTTGTTTCCACGAAGGGCTTGTGCTCAAAACGTCAGTTTTAGTTTTCTTAACGGCCTTTTGGTCACCGCGGCAATCAGTTTTGTGTTGAAGATAAACTTGGAGTAAATCACTTTTTTCTCATGTGGCAAAAACTCCAGGTACTGAAGGGAAGAAAAGATCTTCATCCATGGACAACAAACTAAACAGAGGGACGCAACTTAAAGGTAACTTTTCTTCGCTGTGTATTGTCAGGACCTTTTGGCCAACCGGATGCTTAGGTGACATTTTTCCTGCGCTTACTCACGGTCGAACGCATAATTCGGTTAGAATTTTTCCTGGGTCAAGTACTTTTTCTAAGGTTTACACTCGAAAATGTTTTATGTTTTGTTTGACCGCTCAGGGCTTTAAATGTGCTTCCTCTACTATGACATTCGCAAATGGTTAGCCATTTTAGTTTGATAACGACGATAAACCGTAGTCCACTTCTCCTGTAGCTTCTCTGTACTGGTTAGCAAGGGACGTTAAAGATTCCACGCACTCCTCGCAAAGAACAGGGAACGTAGCTCCCGATGTCATGGTCTGGCCTTGTTATTGTTTAGATAGCTATACGCTGAACTAGAACAGCCTGTCTAAATATCGCAACTACATACATACATACATACATACATACAACTGTCCGAAGCGCGGGGACGTACCACTGATGGGCAGTTGGAACTGAAGCTCTCTCTGCAAAATTTCGAAATAACTGAAACTTCAATGATAACAGTGATACGACCGTCAAAATTATTAAATATTCTTTAATAACTTAAACATCCCATTTAGCTAACCTATAGATGTTGTGAATTTCAAGGTATAAAATTCTAATACTTTTAAAATCCGGGAGCCATGATAAATTTATTGACTTGTAAACTATGATGATAATTGCTTATAATTTTCTTTTTTTATGAACTAAATAACCATCCGGAGTTTATAAACTTACAAAATCGTGACGTAAATTAAGCAGTATTCAACGAACGATATTTCAACATTATAATTGTTCAAACACTATCATTGTAGCTTATTTAATGAAAGTTAGATTATTGTCATTCCTTCTTCAGAGGCGAACAATTCACATCTTTGTGGTACAGTTACAGCTGTTTATGTAGACGTAGAACTCCAGTGATATCTTTTGCAGCCATTCACCAACCTAAGCAATAACTTCGCGCAAGACCGTAGGAGACTAGATCTAATATTTAAAGAAATTAGCCCATAAGATCGATCACCTAGAGCTGTGTGAAAAAGAATGTTACCGTCAAACTCTGGGTCGCTAACAGAGGAGTCAGCAATTCTTACTGATGCACTTTAAGGTTTAGGGTGAAACTAAATAACCATCATATTGACAGGGAAAGTTTGCTTAGGTTCAGAAGTTTACCAAACATCGACATTTGTGGCTCCAGTAAAGGTACTAACATTTTATTAAATTTATTAAATTTAAAAAATCTAAATTTAAAATAAATAACGTAAAATTTAGGTTTATAAATTGATACTTTTAAACGATAAAAAACGTTCTTGAATTTAACGATTATTATAAGTTACGAATCCTGGTTAAGTCGTGGTTAATCCTGGTTAAACGTGAAACAGTTACTAAGACAATTAATTGCAAACAGTTCCCATGCAGAAAGTGGCATTCATCTGAATTATCGCGTGTGAACTTGTGAAGGTCTGCAAGAGCGTATATCGTTTACACCTTTTCGCTAACTTTGGTTCTGTTTACTTCCTTTCAAAGGGTCTTCTGGATTTACAGGAATGAAGCGGGTATGTTTATCGTTTAATTCTTATCTATAGATAACAACTATTCACCTTAGTGTCGGGGACTAGTGGTAGATATTCACTGAGCCGCGAAGCGACAAGGTAAATTTATTGCTGTAAATTATTGTTTTTCTTGACCTGGGGGGAGTCCTATGTACGCAGGGAATATCCTGCCGTTGTTGCGCTGGTGTTTTACGTAGTATTTTTTTTATACAACGTGTGTGACAGAGGGTGAAAATTTTACGTGTTGGTAGACGAATTGAAAATATTGCTCTTTTTGTAGGAAAAAGTAAGCGTTAAATCAGATGACGAGAGCGAACCCAGATCTCCATCAGAAGCGTATTCTTCGGACGATGACAAGGTAGAGAACTTATCCTTGAATTTTTGCTTTCCGCTCTGAACTCTCTCATCTTGAACCCTCCTTGTTTCTTCTTGAATGGATGTAAGTTGTCCCTTCAATGTTTATCTGCCTTGGGACTAATATTTTGTGGTGTCCTTCACGATGAAGGTAGTTCAGAACTTAGCAAAGTGTGATGACGTTGCTCCTATAAAACTGACCTTTCACGGCGTTCTTGGTGACCCTGTGACGAAAAAGCTTGTCGATTGTGGCTGAAATTTGGCAAAACTCCGCGAAAAATATTTGGTAACCGAGGTATCGCATTCAGTTTTAACTTTTGTTTGTATAACAAATTGATTATGTTTTTGCTTTCTTTTTTTTAAGAAACGTCTCCGTTCGCATTCGTCCGTCAGTGACAAGGAAGAAAGCTTAGACGAATGTGAAGAACCAGTAGAGGAAAAGCGACAGGAGTCTGATCACAGGATTTCAACTCCAATAAATGAAAGTAGTGAGGATGAAGCAGAGGTGAGGATAACTTTGGAAAAAAAGCTTCCAGTCGCTGTACTTGTAGGGTTTTAGACAATTTTCAGCAGCACGGCTTATTTGTTAGCAAAGAAGCCTTCGGCCTCGTGCTTTCATCTGTTTCTCGGTAGCTGGGTACCTCGATGAAACAATCGCACTCGTTTTTGATATGTTACATCTGAAATATTACTCTTCATTGCTAAACATCTCGCGGGTTTATACTAGAGGGATTATGTAATAATAATAATAATAATAATAATAATAATAATTTATTTCTACAGGGCATTTCCCTAACACACAAATGCGCTTTACAGTGTCAAATTATCATAACCTATAATTAAATAAAAATTTAAAGTCTAAAAATATGCTTGTCGAAAAAGATAGGTCTTAAGCTTAGCTTTAAAAATAGAGACAGATGCGCTGCTTGTAATTTCCAATGGAATTGATTCATGTAAAATAATTGTGGCGTACAGCCTGGAGAGATTACCATTCTCGAATCCCCCATTTGTTCCATAGGCTCAGTATTCACACATTCATCATTTTCAAGTGGTGAGAGTTCGTTGAGTTTATAACAAATAATCGTAACAGAATTATTCAAATATAATTACAACGCAAACTGCTTATTATCAACTGTCTCTTTGTAGGAAAAGTTCCCTAATAGCGAGGAAACTGTAGCACAGCCAAGAACATACTCAGTTAAAGACTCTCAAGGGGAAGTGTTGGGAACGGCAACTACTGAAGGAGTCGGCTTTGTATCTCAGATTAAGAACAATCAACAAAGTGAGGCAGAGGTTGCCAAAATATCGCGCGAAAGCGTTACCGCGTCAAGCGTCATAAGGCAACGCCCCAGTAGCTTCTCCAGCTCGGATTCTGTCAAAGAGTCACGCAAAAGAAAAAGTGTGACTAGAAATGGGTCCTTTAACAGTAACGCCTCCTGTGAAGTGGGTAGCTTTGCGCACCCGTCCTCTGATAGCCCAAGCCAAATAAGGCGGTCCTCAAACGGTGTCCGACTATTGGAAGCTCGGCGAAGCCTTGAAAAATCTTCGTCTGCTTTAGACTTACGTGACGTAGACGAAGACTCGGCGTCAGTGTTTAGCCATGGCGACATAGAGAATTTCAGGGAGTATTCAGCAATACAGACTACTGTGAGAAAAGTAAGCCGAGCGTTCAGTGGCTCTTCTCCACCTGACAAAACCTCTCCAAGCGAGAACCAGATGCGTACCGCGCAGACACACTACATCGTGGAATCTCGCAATACCCCGGATAAAGACTCTTCTCTCTCGAGCTCAGACTCCACACAGCAAAACTTGGAAGAGCTACTTGCTTCCATCGACCGCGACTTGGATGAGACACGTCGCACAATTTCTTGCGCGCAACTGTTAGAATCTGCTCTTCTTATTAAGAATGACGGCAGATTAGAGACTACGTTCACGAACAGTCTTACGCGTAAAAGGCGTCCTCGGATTATCGACTTTACAACTGAAAAGATTGAGTCCCAGGTAGATGAATCTAGGAGTTCTTTTTCTGACGAGCGAAATGGAAGGAGTGAACAATCCGAACACGAAAACCGTCTGCGTGGTGATGCATACAAGAACACTTCAGTTTATTCCGAACATGAAAGAGAATTTAACTCTTCAGAAGGAAAAAATGGTAAAGAAAAGCAAGAGTTGTCAGTTTCTAACGAGATTGAACAATCACAGGCTTCTGCTCTTTCTACTGATTTAGAACCACAGGGAGTCCAAGTAGACCAACCTTCTCGAGCAGAGGATCAAAACCAACCGCAAAAACGCGTTCTTGAACCATACGCTGATAGTAACAGCGAAAAGAGCAAGCCGTCAACAACAAACGAAGAGGACGTTTACGGGGAAACAGCCCCACGTGTCATTACGCCCATTAAATCTAGCTTGCCGAGTGTTCATAAGATGGCGAGACAGTATTCTCGAAAAGTCGCCGAGGAACAGACAGTGGAGAATATACGCATGCGTGCGCGAAATAAAGTGCGCGACAAGATAGAGTCGGACACAGCGGTCAGTAATAAGCAAGACAATACAGACCATACTCCTAAGATAAAAATTGAAAAAGTCACTAAGGTTTCATTCACTAGTACTCCGATCGAAAGTTACAAGCTCGTAAGGCGTCGACGAAGGCGTTCGGGATCTTCTCGACATCGCTCGGACGATTTGCGGCGCCTGAGTTGGTCGGTTGAGAAAGTAAAACCAGAATCGGAGGAACCACGCAAGACGAGACCCAAGAGTGTGTTCGATATGGAGGCCTTGGAGGCTACACTGACAGAAAATATGGAACAGATCGAGGAGGGTCTGGAACCAATGTTAATCGAGGGATTGGAAAAGGATGATGTGGTTGTTAGAGGACTGGTGCAGCACTTGGTTAATAAGTTTAACTCTCACAAATAGAAACGTTCTGGTCAAAGAACCCCTTTGAGGTTGTTCGGTCCACGATTAAGTCTTTTGGTGTAAACTTTATTCGGTGATTTTGAGTCCATCTCCCAAATCATGGCCACGAACAAGAAGTTATTTTCTACGAAAATGCTCGAATGCTCTTGTTTTGTCAGTTCCATTGTTATTTGTTTTCTTGCTAATTTTGACGACAAGAGCGTGTGGGATTTGAGGAACACACTCAAGCAACAACAGTTAACATAACAACACGTTTGCGAAGAAGGAAGTTTATCAGGTTTAATGTTATGAGTGGGATACATGTTTATTGTTTTTGCTAATTTTGACATTTTCCGAGAAAGTAATGACCTCTATTTGTCTCGTTAGTTAACTCTTTTTGTCATAAAGTAGGTTGTGTGCTCTGTCACGTTGTGAATATAATGTGCAACGCTGGCGTTGCAAAGACTGTATCGATAGCTTTAAAGTATCGTCATGTTTATATTTAATTTCGCTGCGCCAACCTAGTGCCCAGGTTCGACTCTCTCAGAAAGAAACACGCATTAGGATGAGGGCTCAGGAACAAGGCTGGATTGAAAGTATAGTGCAGAAGTTTTTACCAGTGTGATCAGCGGATGTATATGTTATTGGAAGTTTACCTCACACGTAACTAGTTTGTATCATTAAACATTCCATACTTTCGACTTTTTTATACCGTTAATATGGCCGACGTGACTTCATGTCAACCTTAAAACAACCTATTGGTTAATTATATTTTACTGTCACTTGCATTTGCCCGTGAAAAAAGATCTTGACGAGTACATTTTGTGAGTTGATATCGAACTAAATTTGTACTTACTTTGACAGGCTTACGCCTGATCGTACTTGAAAACTAAGTCTTGAGTATTGTTTTTTTCCTTGAGTTGTCATCATTCCTTACAGAAAATGAAACAGAGCGTGATGTGATGTCTCCAGTGGGAACACTCCAAACTTTCCTCCCTTACAGTTAAAATTTCCCTCAAGATGCTTTCAGCGCAGAAAATGACGACTGAACTGCCAAAACTAATTTAGAGAGTGATCGTTCTTCAAAACGTGTTTTTCTTACTAGTTCATGGGAGATGCAAGTGACATAAAAACGCGAAGCCATACGGAAACATGCAAAATCGCACCTTGTAGCTGAACCGTAACTGCTGTTCATTTACTTGTATGTGCAAGAAGATTCTGCATTTTTGCTATTTGTCCAGATCTTTCTTTTTCTTATTGATACTCAAACAAATATAGATTTCTTTTCTGCCATTTGTTGACCAACTAAAGAAATTATCAGTAATTTACATATCTTTGCACAATCGATTTGTATATTAAGAAGTGCTGTCAAATTTCTATGCCACGTTGGTTTTTAGGAAAACACTTGAGTAGTATCTATACCCTCGCTGTATAGCTATTAACAGTTATTTATTAGTTAAAATTTCCTAGTGGTAGTTGAATGACGTATGTCAGAAACAGTGTTGATTCTGCTGTAATCACATGAAGGAACTGTGTTCTATCGCTCTAATCTATCGCCTTCTGAGAAAAACAACAATTTTTGTAAAAAGTTCTTCTAATGATTTGATCATCTTCTTTTTCCACGAAATATTATTTGTAAATTGCTCGGCTGGTGACTTTTTGTATTAAAGTCAATTAAGGATTGTCTTTACGTTAGTTGTTACATTAATATCTCGTGCACTTTTAGTTTTCCTTGATACCCGATTGTTATGTTAGTCTCCCACGCACTTTAAGTTTTCCTTGTTACCCGAATGTTACGTTAGTATCTCGCGCACGTTTAGTTTTTCTTGTTACTCGATTGTTACGTTAGTATCTAGAACACTTTTAGTTTTCCTTGTTACTCGATTGTCACGTTAGTATCTTGTACACTTTTAGTTTTCCTTGTTACCCGATTGTTACGTTAGTATCTTGTACACTTTT